CTGGAACCAGGAACTCCACCCCCACTCAAGAGACCTGCTAAATCAGACCCAGGTGATTTAAGGGGACCCAGGTGATTCGTGTAACATGAAAATATGAGAAACCCTGACAGTACAGTAGGCACGAACTGGGAGCTTAAAAATGCATGATGGTGTTTTGGGCTTGTTTTTGTTTTGAGTTGATGGCGTCTGATGTTCCCAGGTGATTCTAATATGCATCTATTGCTGAGAACCTATTGCTTTCAGGCAGAGGTCTGGCTTCAACCTGAAAAAAACAAGACTGTCCACGTGCTTCGATGCAACGTCTCCACCACCACCACCACCACCACCCCCACCCCCACCGCTGCTGCTCCAACAACCTGCTGCTGATGCTCACCCTGCCAGCTCCCAGGTCATAAAATTTCACAGGGACGGTGGAACTGGACAGAGGAAACAATTGGTTTTCAAAACAAGGAGAAAATAAGGCATTTGCTGCTGCCCTACAGAGATCTAAGGCCATTTGATCTGTAAAGTTTCAGTGACTTCATGGGAGGGCACAGGTGTTGTGGCTATTATTTTATTTGCTCTCCACAAACTACTTTGACAATTTTGGCAAATTTTTGGACTGATTTTTAAAGTATTCTCATCAAAAGCCAGGTTTTCTGTGCCTGCAGACACTGTCCCGCTTTATCAAAAATCCTACTCTTCATTCAGACACCTCTTCATTCCAGAAGGATGGTGGCTACCGATCACTTCAGTCGCCCCCCCACCCCCACCTCCTCATTCAGCAAGTATGAGGCCCTGACACACGCCAGGGCCGGGGCCACTGTTCTAAGACTCTGTGTGCTTGACTTCCCCACTCCTGGGGCTTCCACACCTGCCCAGCAGCACTCACCTTCTGGCTCCTGCCCCGGGATGGCTTCCTCGGCTGGCTGGGGGCCCCAGTCAAGCGGGTCTTCCTCCATGACACCTTCTTCCACTGCCCTGTGTTCCTTCTTCCCATCTGGGCCAGCACCACTGTGGAAGATAGCCATTTAACTCGGGATGAAGTCTAGATTTTCCATGTGTTAGGGGTTTTTCTCCCCTTCAGTTTACATTTCCTCCAAACCCTATGCAGAGTGCTCAGCGCACAGTGCCTGGAACATAGGACACTTGGATAGACCCGCCTGTGACTGCGAGAGAGCGAGGACCCATTCGCTCCGGTCCCATCTTCTAGCGTGAGCCAGTGGGCTCATTTGGTTACAAAGCAACAAGACTTAAAGAAAGCACACATCATGGAAATACAGCTATTTTATTTATAAGGCTTTAATTGCCCTAACAAGTTATATTTAAGATCATTTACTTAAATAGACTGCAGGACCACCATCCTTAACCGTAATGTAATGGAGCATTCCCTAGGTTTATGTCCCCATGAAACATGTTGAGACTATTTTTGAGCCCAGAGAGAGCGCCCCAGGCCCTGTTCAGATGCGTCCATTTAAATAATAATGGGGGAGATCCCTGGGTGGCGCAGCGGTTTAGCGCCTGCCTTTGACCCGGGGCGCGATCCTGGAGACCCGGGATCGAGTCCCACGTCGGGCTCCCTGCGTGGAGCCTGCTTCTCTCTCTGCCTCTCTCTCTCTCTCTCTGTGTGTGACTATCATGAATAAATAAATAAAATATTTTAAATAAATAAATAAATAAATAAATAATAATGGGGAGGCCTCTGGCCCGAGCACCTACCCGCGGATCATTCTACCGGTGAAAACCAGCATGGGGACCTCAGGGCAGTCCTACCACTGCTACCCTGAAAACCAGCACTAGGCAATCAAACTGTATTTGTTCGCTAGGGCTGTAGTAACAAAGTACCCCAAAATCGGTGGCTTAAGCCACAGAAATTGTCTCACATCTGGAGTGTGAAAGTCCAATGGCATTGGCAGGATTGGTTGCTTCTGGAGGCTCTGAGGGAAAATCCACGCCATGCCTCCCTCCAAGCTGCTGGTGGCTTTCCGGCAGTCTTCGGCATTCCATGTCCACAGAGCAATCTGCCTCAGCGTGTATCCACGTCCAAATTCCCCCTTTTGATAAGACCCATCCTACTCTAGTATGACCTCATCTGACCAATTGCTCCTGCCACAACGCTATGTCCAGATAAGGTCACCTTCTGCTGTTTTGGAGTTAGGACTTCTGTATATGAATTTCTGAAAGGAAGTTTCAACCCCTGACAGACTCCTAAAACACGAGGTATGGGTGGTGATCCAGACCACCCCACACCCTACCAATCTTCTTTAAAATCAAACTTGCGGATTCTCAGATCAAAGCAAACCCCAGGTGATCCACATGGGGGCTTGCAGAGGAATATACAAGAGATGTCGTATTCAGTGCCTCAGGAGAACTGCCTGCTGGCAGACGAGCGGTTTTAGACAGCCACCACCTCTTCTATAACCATAACCGTGTCTGAGTCGTGGCGGCAAGGCAGGGCCCATCTACCACGTGCCGGCCCCCTGCCGTGGGGCGCTCTAACGTTAAAGTCCCAGAAGCAAGGTCAGGACATAGATGGTGAAGAGAGCCAAACACCCTGCGCTCTCACTTTCCAAAACAAGCTCTGTCATTTTCAGGAGTATGTAAAGGGAATGAAAGACCTGCCCAGCCGAGGCACACCAAATAGAGCCGCATAACCCTCAAGTTTCTTCTAAAGCACAAGTTCCTCTGAAGAGTCATCTCATTCCTGCAGTTACGATTCCCACTCCAGGCAGTTGTTTTACATGGTCACCACTAGGGGGCAGGCCATTAAAACGTACCTGTCAAACCATTTGTTCTGCAAAAGTTCATACACAAAGGTAAGCTCCGGATTTACAAGGTGGCTTTCTTCCACCTACAGTGCACAAGTCCACATCTGATGAGGAGCGACAACATGGGACGCACTGTCTTGTTTGCATGATGCTTCTTTCTTGGGAGTCTATTTTACACGGTGTGAAACCCATAAAGTGACCTGCACTTCCCTTAGGTTTTCTCCGGGTGGGAGTTCCTGGAAGGAAAGGAAAACATTGCACTGGCCAGGGCAGGTCGCAAGGCCTTTGGTTTGGGTTAATGGATAGCAGGAGTGGACGAACTCGGGCATCCTGCCACGGGTGCCCCGCTCATTAGGAGAACTACTCGGCATGAACAATCCCAAGGAAGCTGTATTTAATTCCTCACATTAAAAGAAGTCCTAAAAACTAGGACTGATATAATTTTATAAACTACCTTTGTCTCAAACTCCTCCAAAAAAGAGAGAAGGCAAAGGTAAGTCTAAGGATGGCTTCTCTCCTCTGCCCTCTACCCCCACCCAGATACATCTGCCTTATCTGTGGTCATACAGAGATTTTGTTATGTCACCAGGAAGCCCCAAATAGCGCCTTTCCAGGCAAACACTGCATTTTCCTTCTCCAAGACGAGGCTTAGCCCCATGACCTCACTGGAGAGTACTGGCTGCAAACCCCCTTTGGCTCGCATTTATGGAGAGGTTTCCGGTCCTTCTTTGGAGGTCCAAACAGGATTTCCCTGGAGAAATAGGGCTTCGCCGAATAAATGACAAAGAGAGCTGCGGAGGCACAGCCAGGTCACTGGGCTCGGGCTCCGCATTGTTCAGCTCACCAGCTTCCCAGGGCTCCTGTCCAAGCAAGCCCGAAACTGCAGAGGGACTTCAGGGAGCTGCAGGGTTGCTCCCCTCCTGCCCACGCTCCCCCCAACCCCCCACCCCTACCCCGCCATAGGGCACGAGTGAGAAAACATACTGCACAATAAGGCCAGGAGACACCTTCCAGAACCCCCTTGAAGGATGCCTGGGACCTGCAGCAGGAAGGCTGACAGGAAACAAAAGGATTTATTCCTTGGGAGAAGAAAGGAGGAACAAAACTTAAAGGGACCTCTCTTCTAAGTGCTGCATGATGCAAAATTCTACTGTAATTCGTGGGTTCATTTTTTAAAAGTGTGCTAGATATTTTTAAATCATGGAAGCAATGGTGTTTGTCATAACCAAACAACAGAGATAAAGAGAGACATAATCATCCTCCAGAGTCCACCTTCTAAAACGCAGAAGAAACTTCCTGTAAATTTTGAGTGTTCTCGACAAAGCATCCTTTCACTTCCGAGCATCTTTATTTTTCTTTGTTGGTTTTGCTGTGAGCAGGGAGGGCCACCTACCTCATATAGTAGATGATCTCTACAGAACAGCTAAGAAAACTCAGTAGGGATTGTTTTATATCCAACTGCCGCTGACAAATTTCTTTAAAGTCAAAATACTATTTTGGACTCAAATATCCAGGGAAATGAAGTAAAACGTTTCTCAAACAAATCTTGGGACATACTTGGGTCTTAGAATAGTATATGAACCTTACAATTTTGTTTTCATTTGATCTTGGAAAAAAAAAAGGCCCCTAACAGTTTTAAAGACAAGTCATTCTACAGGGATCATTCATAATGAAAGGACATTTATGTGGCACTTCTCAAATGTTTTTAAGATTCTTGTTCTCAGGATCTCCTAGAAATTTTCTTAGAAGAAAGATGTGGGTATCAAGATAATGAGTCCTAAATCTCACTGTGTATTAAATTTTTAATGACAGCTTCTTAACAACAATAGGCTCTGGCTCACCTGCTTCAAAACTGCTGGGGGTAAGGCCTGGTAATCTGCATTCTACATGGTCTCCAGTGATTGCGACCAGCAGACAGTGACCTCAAGGACAGAGATCTCCTACATACCCAGCTATCTGCTTCCAGCAGCACAAAGGTTCCTTTCCCTTTAGAGAACCCATCACGGCAATGCTTCTCACGCTGTGCCTCCAAGACACACAGCAACAGCATGACCTGGGAACTTGTTCAGAAATGCACATTCTCGTGCCACACCCCAGCCCTCCTAAATTAGAAATTCTGGGGGTGGAGCAAACACAGTAATCTGTTGCAACAAGCCCTCCGGTTGATTCCGATGCATGCTAAAGTCTGAGAACCACTGGATTAGAGAATTTTGCAATTCCAAGACAAGTAATGAAGAAAGACATAACTCCATGTAAGGTAGAACCAGTTTATTAATGACAGCCTTAATTACAACCACTCTCGAGTGTAAAAAATAAAGGGTGATTAATTAAAATTTAGAACTCACTTGGCCTTGCCATTTGGCCTTTCACTGGATGTGCCAAAGGGAGGGAATCTCGCCTGATTCTGCATCAACTGGTCGGATGGAGTTCACTGGAGAATGAGGTAATAAAAAAAGACAAGAGTGCCAACTGCAGGGCTCAAGTCTTCTCCATGTTGGAATGACATTACAGAATGACAACTGTGTGGGGGCAGAGATGACATAAAATCATCTTACAGTCAGAATATGGAATGAACATCTCTAACTATACAGAGACACAAAAACACACATGCAGCCACACACATACACCCACACTGTGGAGACAATTTTCAAAGAATTTTTGTCCTTTCTCCGAGCAGATTTAACACGTTCATCAGCCACAGCGATGCAACATGAGGCTAAAATAGAAAATCTTGCTCAATTTCCATACAGCGTGCTAGCTGGCTGCCCAGTTTTGTGTTGGCAAGTATGTCATCACCGCAAAATAGACCTGTGGTTTTCCCAGCATTCCACAGGCTAATATCTGCTCCCTGGGAGAGTGACATCCTGGGAGATACCAGTTGGTTTCAAATCTGGGGGCAAAATTCATCCCTCTCCACTCTAGTGGGGACAGGGGTGAGTGGCAGCACCTGGAAGTGGTTTCCCACCTTGGGTCACAGAACACTTGCCCCATCAATGCATTTCCTTCCAAAGTATTTGTGCTTTGTTACCATCCTGATGGTTAGTCTGCACTATGAGAACCGAAGGAGCTCTGGCCATGCACTTTTGTTGTTTAATAAAAGCAAACTAAAACGAAATAAGAAAGAGGAAAAAAAAATTAGAAGTTTTTTGATTGTGTCAACACTGTTTCAGAATTAGGTTCAAGTCCATTCAAAGAGAAGGCGGGGGGGCTACAGAATGAGGCCCCAGAGACTGATGGGGTAAAGGGATTGTTGAGTCCACGGAAGCATTTGCAGTGGCATGGCCGGTCCCCTCCCAGCCAGGGAGGACACGCCACACCTCTCAAGGCAGTGAACCTATGAAATAAATGCTGACAAATAATGCTTGTAAATGTTTGTAGGAAAGATGGCAGGAAAAGGAACTGGTAGATTGAGATTCACAGGTCATGCAGGGAGTTTATACCAAAAAATTAATATTCGAGCTGAGTAAGAAAACTCTTGAAGAGAAAGTGTATCCTAGCTCTCACTTTGGGGAGACAAAAACAGAAACACACACAAAAAAGCAGAACAAAACCCAGAATATTCCAGTTTCCAAAGAATCCAACAACCAGTTTGGTGGGCTGGGGTGAGGGGTATTAATTAATATCTCTTCATTAACCTCATTTTCTCCTTGAATTTCATTAATAAAGCTCAGGCCTACTTAGAACAACAATCTGTCCTGCTAAAACTCAGCATCATGAAGTGTTCCAAGGCCCTAACTCCACGCACATGGAATACAACCCCCTCTTCTAAGAGACACTGCGGGAGAGACCCGGTGAGCCCACTCACAGTACTCGTGGAATGCGATCACAAAATCTGAACCCAAAGACAAGCTGTTTCTTCTTGGGATGATGGTTGTCAACAGTTCCCTGAATGTACAGTGAAGGGGTGCCAAAAACCCCACAGCCCTCCCAGGTAAGCGGTTGAGTTTTAGAAAAGATGCGACTCCCCTTCAGGCCATGGAATAGAAAGTCCCTTCAAGGTGTGACGAAGAGCAAAAACTGCCTCTCCCAGCCCTCCAATTACTGAAGTAGAGAACAAGACTGCTTGTTCCACAAATTCAAGGACATCTGGGTCCCTCACGCTCCCTTTTTTTCTTTTTTGGTGAGTATCCAACCATCCAGAAATTCATGGCTACAGTAGAGATTCACGGCGCAACGACTTTCATACTGGTTATATTTTAATTCTGTCAGTGAGCAGCATTTGCCAGTGGTACCCGCCCCAAACCAAGTTCTTGGCAGCTCCATCCGGTGGGATTGCAGGATGCCTGTGATCAGGGTCCGTGCACCGTGGGTTGAGCTGGGCACGCCGGAGGGTCAGGAAGGCCGGGTCTCTCCAGTGTCTCACAGCAGTGTTGCAGGGCTCTACCAGCTAGCCCTGACAGCTTCAATATCACTAACCAAGTTCTGAGCCAGGCAGATCCCAAAAATCTGAGAAAGGAAGAAGAGAGTCAAACAGTGAAGCTCACTTGGCCAATGAAGTGAGCTTTCTTATCTTTGATATTTTAAATTGACATATAACTCATAGACTATAAAATATGTCCTCTTAAAGAATATACCTCAGTGATTTTTAGTATATTCAAAAGGATGTGCAACTATCACTGCTATCTAATTCCAGAACATTTCACTATGCTGAAAAGAAACTCTGTAGCCTTTAGCAGGAATTCCCATTCCCCCATCCCTGGCAACCACTAACCTACCTTCACTCTCTATGATTTGCCTATTTTGGACATTTCATATAAACGCAATCATGTAATATGTGGCCTTTTGTCTCAGTCTGCTTTCACACAGCAAAATGTTTTTGAGGTTCATCCATATAGTAGCTTGTACCAGTAGCACAATCCTTTTGATGGCTTGAATAATATTGTAGATTTATCTTCACCAGTTGAAGGACATTTACACTGTTTCCGCTTTTGGGCTATTATGAATAGTGCTGCTATGAATGTTCCCGTACAACTTCCTGGTGAACAGGTTTTTGATTCTTTTGGAAGTGGAACTGCTGGGTCCCACATGAACTCCATTTAAGTTTGAGGAAGTGCCAAATTCTTTTCCACAGTGACTACTGTTTTCATTCATCCTTGAGCAATGTACGATGATTCCCATTTCTCCACATTCTTGCCAACATTTGTTACTGTCTTCCTTTTTACGTATATCTATCCTAGTATGTGTGAAGTGCTAGGTCACTGTGGTTTTGATTTGAATTTCTCTAATATCTAATGATCAGCATCTCTCCATGTGCTTATTGGCTATTTATACTTTCTGTGGAGATATATCTAATTCAAATTCCTTGCCCATCTTTTCTTTGGGTTTGTCTTTTTATTGTTAACCTGCTCTTTATATATTCTAGACACTAGATCTCTCTCGACAAAATATTTGCAAATATTTTCTCTCATTTTGTGGGTTGTCTTTTCTCTTTCTTAATAGTATCCTTTTCAGCACAGAAGCTTATAAGTTCAGGTCTTTGATCTGTTTTGAGCTAATTTATATATATGGTGTGAGGTAGGGGACCAAATTCATTCTTTTCTGTATAGATATCCAGTTGGTCCAGCACCATTTGTTGAAAAGACTATTCTTTCCCCACTGACCGATCCTAGTTCCCTTTCAAAAATCAACAGACCGCAGATGTAGGCCTTATTTCTAACTTTCAATTCTATTGCACCGATCTGTATGTTCAGTGTTATGTACTACCTTGATCATTAGAGCTTTGTAATAAGTTTATAACTGGAAAGTGTGAATTCTCCATCTTTGTTCCTTTTTAAGATTGTTTTTTCTATTCTGGTCCCTTGCATTTCCACATGAACTTTAGGATAGATCTTGTCCATCTTTTGCAAAAAAAAAAAAAAGACAGTTGTAATTCTGATAGGGATTGGATTGAACCTGTAGATCAATTTGACGAGTACTGTCACCTTAACCATATTAAGTCTTCCAATTTATGAATGTGGAATGGTTTTCCATTTATTTCGATCTTTAATTTCTTTCAACCGCAATGCCCCATTTGCAATCCTCTAAGAAAAGTACTGTATCTTCACAAAATAAAAATCCTAGCTTTTGGGGCTGCTTAGGAGGGAAAATGGGTGCTTCCTCCCCTCACTTAGCACTTTGACAGGCGGTCCAGAGAGAAAAAGGGACACAGGATATCTGTGAAACTCTTAAAAAGTCTTAATCTTGCCAGTGGGATCTATCCGACCATTCCTACCTGCCCCACCTGTCACAGTGCAGTATTATTTTGCCCATGGAAACACTGGAATACCAGTAGGCAATTGCTGATCCAATTGATTTCTCCACTGTGAAAAGGAAAAAAGATTTCCTGAAGTATTTCAGGATAGTAGCATCTAAAATCAGGGCTTTAAATAAAATACAAACCAAATAGTTTAGGTCTGTTCCCCAGCCCTCCAAGTGTCTTAAAAACCGTGACATTAAGGTGATTAAGCAGAGCTCTTGTCATGGGGGAGGGTTCTCCCAGGGCATCATCTCCCTGTGACATCCATAAAGGAGCCTTGTCTTACCTGTAGCAATGCAATGCCTATGAAAATACCAGCCACGATGGTTAAATTGTCCTGCAACCACTTCTCAAACTGGGGCACACAGCCTTTTGTGTAGATTACAATCTGCTGGTCAACTTCCTTCACAAGGGAAGAGGAGAGCACAGCGTCACCATGCAAGTTCAAAAGCTCTTCCAACACCCTTTGTGCTAAGTGACAAGATGAGATTCCACTTACTGGTTTTTGCCTGGCATCGTAGCCACACTGAGTGTTGATGACATCTTCCTGGTAGAGAGAGAAAACAGAAAAGTGAAATTCACTCAATAGACAGGAAGCCTGCTGAAGACTTAGCAGATCAGCTCCATTAAGTGTCCTTCATAGAATGCATACTTGGGCATGCGGATGTCCTAGGCACTAGGCTAAATAAACACTTTGATTATCACAAGTAATTATTATAACAATCCTCAGAAGTAGGTATTAAAGTATGCCCTCTTTTCCAGAAGAAGAAAACTGAGGCTCAGGCAAGATAAGGATACCAAGCACGTTACTGACAATCTCAGGAAGCTTAAACTTAAAGGAGTGAGAAAACTGAGAGATAAAACTGTGGGGAAAGCGCACAATGACTATCTTCATTTATGGTCTTTTGGGGGAACTTCTACTTCTTAATCTATATACTTCTGTATCATTTAAATGGTTTTTCGATGAGAATGCATTACACTTTAATAATTAGAAACAAAACAGTGCCCTGACAACCTATCACATGGACAGATATCCTGACATCTCACAGGCCTCATCAGAAACATGGGTTCTCTCCTGTCTTAGGTTTGTTTATTTTTCCCCTCTGCAGGGTATAGGGTAGATTTTATTAGCTTGGCATTTATGGAATGAGAAATCTCTACCCAGAGTATCTGTAGTTGAAAGGGGAGGCATAATGCCTTCTGACACTCTTCATAATTCTTCTGACGGAATGTTAGCACATTCCGTCAGACAGCTGGAGCTGGAGACAGAGCAGTTTGTACCTGCTGGTCAGCGCAAGGCCACCTGAGTGGACACCCAGGGCTCTGTACTGAGCACTCTCCCGTCTTTTGGTCCTCTCTCAGAGGAAAGCAAGAAATGAGCCAGTGGGAAAGGTGGGTTTCCTGGCAAGGTCTCAGAGCTAGGAAGCACAGTCCTTTCAGATTCTTGGCCTCTTTCAGACCAAGAGTAACAGCTCAGAGACCCCTCTGAGGCCCCCAGAGGGCTACTGTTTCACCTCAAGACCATGGGCCCTTGAAAGAGCCCCACAACCTCCACCTTACATGGGGGAAATGGCCATTGAACTCATTAGCTCCCACTGGGCTCCGCCTGATTTCAGGAAGGGTGGTCTGGGGGTTGGGGAGGGGGGACTGCCCGGACTGATATCTCGGGAGGCCAAAGAGCGTGGAATAGACATGTGCAGAAGCATATTCTCGCACTTGTTACAACACTCACTCCTGGCTTTCTATTTATTTATTTTTTAAAGACTGAGCAAGCATGAGCATGGGGGAGCGGCAGAGGGAGAGGGAGAAGCAGACTCCCCACCGAGCAGGGAGCCAGACATGGGGCTGAATCCCAGGTCTGTGAGATCATGACCTGAGCCAAAGGCAGATGCTTAACCGACTGAGCCATCCAGGTGCCCCTCACTCCTGGCTTTTAACTGACAACAAGACACTTGCATTTTAAGCCATCCTACATACAGTGATATGATGTGACCCTAAATACAACCAAACCCATGGTGAAAGGGTTATGAGTGGGTTTAACGCTTTTTCTTTTCTTAAATAAAATACAAACTGCAGTTATCATCATCATCACAACCGAGAACCCAGACAGCTGCGGTCTTCCTACACAGGTAGGCTAGCCCTATCTTGCCTCAAACTCTTCTCCTATCCCTAATATTTTCCCCAGAAGCAAGTCAGGAAGCAAAGGGTCTCTGACCCCTAGTCAAAGCAGACAACTCTCACCTGGGCCCGTCCCTCTCACACAGAAGGAATAACAGGCACTTTAGGTAGTCTTTCGGGGTCTAAAGCTCAGTCTGTCCCTTGCTAGCAATGGGAACTCGGGCAAGTTACTGAAACTCCATGGGCCTCCATTTCACCCAAAGACGGAAGATGATGGTGGTACTGCCAACAGGAAGGTTCTGAATTTTATTGAGCCAACTCACAAGAAGGCTGAGAACAGAGACCAGCGTGCACTGCTAAATTAACATCAGCGATCATTACTCCTACTGGGGAGATCTGAGCCCTATGTCCCCGAGAGGAGCTACAATTAGGAATAAGCAGGTAAGGTTTCAAGAAAAGAATTGCTCTGCTCATTGCCCACCCAGCCCACATTCTCCGTGTGATGCCCAGAGCCGCCCAATGGTCAGCAGGCACTTACTGCCGGGTCTTTAGTACAGCAGGAGAATGGCACGCCGCATCGCTCTCGACTTGCGTTGGAATCTGTGCAATTGAAGTAAATATTTAGGTTCCAATCATCAGCTCCAAAAGCCCCACAGCACTGCCACTAGAGCAAACAGGAGAGAATTAGAACCTCTCGACCTGGAGGCGACCAGGCGCCTACGCTCACCACCGCCAAATGCCCGACGCCCAGCTCCTGCGAGCTCTAACCTCCTTTTCTGTCTCAGAAGTTAGTTTTAGACCAAACTAAACCGAAAGGGCCCCTAGAAAAGCTTCCAGAGTGACTAAGGCTCAAGATTTGTAAGGAGGTGCTAGCATCTGATTTAAAGGACTGATGAGACCTGTGGTGTTAGGTGGGGGAAGGGCAGACAGAGCAGGGGTTGTACGGCAGGCTCAGTCAGAACAAGGTCTGCCTGGCGTGGGTGCAGGCAGGAACATTCTAGAAAGATAAACAAGACACTAAACCGTGGTAGTGTCTGCAGGAGGCAACTGGGGTTGTGGGTGGGAGAGCTAGAGGCTTACTTTTTAAAAATTTGGGTCTCTACAGCCTAAATGGTTTTACAGAAAATCCTTTTTATTGAGGTATAACTGACCTATAATAAAGTGACGTTTAAAGTGTACAATTTTCTAAGATTTGACATATGCATACATCGCGAAACTGTGATCACCACCGTCAAGACAGTGAACACACTCATTACCCCCAAGAGTTCTAAAGGCTTCCTTTTCATTAGGTATCTGTTACTGCTCTGAGTTTCTTCTAAGAGCACGCATTTGCATTTTCAACTTAAAAAATCCCATCATCTAACCAAAATATATCTAATATGAGCTGTTCAAGTCAGCGAGTCTCAAAAGGGTCGGTTCAAGGGCTGCTTGTTCCAGAAGCCCCTTCGTCACCCCCTGCTGGACTAGCTCTGCCTCCGACTTAGGTAAACATCAAGCCCTGACCATTTTAAGGCTTTTGGGACCAATAGCCACTGCAAAGCATTGCACTCCATGACAGCAAAAGAAAATCACATGAAACAGCATTTCCACATAAAGCAGACAGCATTTCGAGAGAACGTGGATACACGTGTTCTTCCGACTCATCTGGTCCTCCGAGGCCGTGGGCTGTGGATCTCAGGGTTTGCCTACGAAGCTTCATCAGGTCTGTCATGCCAACTAGTCAGCAATGCTACTTGGCAGGGCGCGCGCCTGCATCCTTTGTGACCTAACAGAACAGTGAGGTCCGCTGCGGAGGTGACCGGGCTTCATCTCACACCTGAGCTGCAGCACATTCCAGAAGTCACTGACGCCACTCCACTCGACAAAACCAGAGCAACCCAGCTCCCTCCTGAGCACCTAAGGAGGCCGGGCTCCCTATGGCGAGTGCTGATGCAGCCGTCTCCTGCCTTCATTAGAGGGGCCCCCAGCTCGCCCCGGAAAGCCGTCCAAGGGAGGGACAGCCAGTGGTCTGTGGGCTCCCGTCTGCCCTCCGGTCCTGCTGCGGACACTTCTGTCCCAGACAGCGCTGTCCGGGTCTGCTCAGCTTCTCCAGTGTCTCAGGGCATGCAAATAAAGACCTTAACACCTGAGGACAGTAACGCCTTTGGCCTAATATAAAACCGCATGCAGCTTATTAGAGTGCCCTAACGTCTGCACAAGTTAAGCAGTAGCTTCCATATTACTACTGGGGAAATAGGTCAGGTTTCTGTTAGCCCATGGTCACCTAGCTAATTAGATCTGGGCACTAGATCTGTATTTCTGACCGCTTGTTTATACCATTTTGCATTCTGAGACAAACAGGACATCTGCTGCTTCATTTGCATGACAGAGGACATCACCTAGTAGGGTCAGAAACCTGGAGGCTCTGCCGAGCAGATTCTCCACTTGTTAGAAGCCACCAGGGCTTGGAAGTTTCTCAACTTTTGGTTGTGTGGAACCGCGTGGGCTATAATAATATTTGGACAGGCATATTTTAGGAACTTTGTGGACAAATTATCTATTGCTAAGTATATCATTATGAGCCATGAAGTGTGGAGGCTGACCAGAAAGAGGGCAGGCAAGCAGCAAGAAAGAATCCACATAAAACACCAAATAAAAAGTTATACCTGTAGCAAAACAATATTCTTCAGATGCCAATGGGAAACAGCAACTGTGATTATCTTATTGCTCAAGAGGTTTTCTTTGTCCCGTGGACTTAGTAGAAATTGAGATAAGTGAAAAAATAAGACACTGCCACTTAGGCTACAAATCATGTAAGCCATAAAGCGGGTTAGAAAATAATGAATACACAAGTAAACCAACAACAACAAAACATGTGGCAAAGTCAGACGTAGGTTCCAGTTGGCACAAGCAGAAGCCAGGAGTAACGTTCACTGGGGTCATTCCTTGAGAAGGCTTTCAACTTAAAAATAAACTAAGTTTAAACTTACATATTCCTGTGTGAAGTCTATGAGGTTCTGCAAATCAATGTCATCTCTGTACGCCCTGATGTTGTTGTTTATAAAGAAATACAGCTGGTCTTTGATCCAGTCTTTGAAAACAAATGCCAGAACCCCAGCAGTGAGCTCCAGGAAGAAAATAATTCCCAGGAACACAGAAAACTAAGACAAAAGACACACAGAGAACAGTTAAAAGGGTTATTTTGATCATATATAGTCAAATGGTTCCTTCTTAAAAGGTTTATAATTACATTGGGTTGTTACACATGTCCAAAGCAGATAATCTTCGGTTTCTTAAGATACATCAGTAGAATATTACACTCCAAGAAAGGATTTTTAAAAAACGTTCATAATCACATTTTAGGGGCTCTGGTGGTCCATTCGGTAATTAAACAACAAAGCCTAAATGCAAACATGGGTAATAGGAATTTCTCATTAGACTCACATTAAGGCCTAATGAGTTCCTCCGGATTCATGCACTGCCACGCTCTTGAACAATGACCTGCCCCTACCTCTAGTAAGCTCTCGTAATGTCGAAAGAGAAACCATCCCAGTATTTTAAGATAGACTGTCATTTGTTACTACGGCCTTGATTCTGTATGCAACACATTCCTCTATCAGATTCAGACATTGCTTTAATCCCCTTTTGCACCTTCTTTATGAAGTAAAACAGCAGATGGATTCATCTTAGATGAAGAGGTCAAAGAGGAAGTTTGTGTGTGTCTGTGTGTGGGGTGACTATAACAGGAAAATCATTTTCCATCATGAAATCCGGGTTGAAAGCTTTCTTAGGTAACTTGCTTACCTTTCTTTGTAAATACCAGGCTTGGAAGATTTTAAATAAAATCAACCCACAGCTGAAGGAAGATTTCTGGCTGATATAGACAGCAAGAATTTACACAGGAAGGCTGGGGACCACAGGTAATGTGGTGACTGCCCATAAATCTGGAGAAATCTCCCTTTCATCTCAAAGACTCAGAAGAGCCCCACCTCGGTTATACCAAAGTACCGTTCACGCCCATGGTTCTTTCCACTTCCTCTCACCCCCACACTTTTACTCTTTCCTGACTTTTGTGCTGAAACAGATTATGAGAAATTAAGGTGTGAGGGAGCATGCAGGTTTCTGGTGGTAAGGACAGACAGGGGGCCATCGGGGCCACCGTGGCTGAGGAGGCAGAGGGGCTAAAGCTGTGTCTGCTGTTTCTATGCTCCGCAAGCACACATCAAAGGGCCAACTGAGAGAAAAACATGCTGTGGGAGTGCTTCAAAGGAAACTGCAGAGTTACTTATTAAAACAAAAAAAAAAGACAAAAGATGCAAATTCCTCCAGCAACCATCTGAAGGACCCATAATAGATCAGGCCCTAGATTTGGTGGGCTTTGCAGAAACAAGGAGTGAGGAGTAATCCTGCCTCCAAAGACCTAACAGTCTTATGTGCTGTGGGGGTGGGGATAGGGGTGAGGGTAGTTGGGGGGGGGGCATTGCACAGGGGACATCCACATATTGGACGGTGTTTATCCAGGGTGCCAAGTGCTGTTCTGGGAGGGTGGACATGAGGGGAGGGGTAGAAGAAAGAAAGAAGTGCCTGGCAAAGTCTAGGACCCCAAGGTTCAGGCTCTAAATCTAGATCCTCTAGAACTCAACCCTTCAGGCTCCATAGATCTCCTGGTTATCTGTCCTTGATGAATTCAATAGAACTACCATCTAAACTATCATCAGTGGTGCCAATAATTTCAAGTAAGATTTCCTTAATCTAGAAAAAAAGACGGGAAAAAAAACTTTTACTGAATGCCTACCCCATAGTATAAAACAACTCCCCTCCCTTTATTAGGTACAGAAATACAATAGTTATCACTATTGTATTGAGAAAAATCACAGCTAGCTCACATGCATGTGCACACAAAATACCATGACAGACATCATGCAAGATTTTTTATTAGATTTTTGTTCGCATCACCATAAAAGTTAAGGCAAGTTCACTTTCCAGTTACCCCAGTAGAATTTCTCTTAATGCTCTATGATATAGATTTATCCAAAATTGAGTTCAAATTAAATTTGTATCGAATATTTGGCAGAAACCTGTATGCCCTGGCCCCCATGGACCTCATTTCCCCCATTTCCAAAGGGAATTACTCGTGGGCTTCATCTCAGGGCCTCAGTTGACCAGGAAGCTCTATTTCCATTTCACATGATCTTAGCTCTCAGATTTGCCCTCAGCAAATCTCCTAGCCTTGCAGTATCAGATGTCTGAGGCTGTTAAAGGCATGTTGACATTCGCTTCCTACTTATTGCATAGCTCCTACTCAAAGAATATTCTGGGCCAGTTTTTACTGTTTACACTACATAGAGAAGCCATTTTGAGTATTATCCATGATTTTTAAAAGCCAAGAAACAATACAAGTTTCTTCTTCTTCTTTTTTTTTTTTTAAGATTTATTTATTCATGAGAGACACAGAGAGAGGCAGAGACGTAGGCAGGGGGAGAAGCAGACTCCATGCAGGGAGCCCGACGTGGGACTCGATCCCGGGACTCCAGGATCATGCCTCGGGCTGAAGGCAGGTGCTAAACCACTGAGCCACCCAGGGATTCCCCTACAAGTTTCTTCATTTCCAACATGGGACCTTATAAATTAAGGTGCCAATTTAGAAAAATGTATCTATTTCTGCCTGTTAACTCTCGTATCTTCAACTACAAATACGATAGCTATGTTAAAGGACTACTCCTGTAAATATATTCAAGTAAATCACATTAACGGGGATCCCATATTTGGGGGCTTGGAGGCTAAAACTCATAAAACAGTGGCAAATGGTGAGTATTATCTGGGGCCGATGAGGCTACAAAAAAGCTGAGTGAGGTGAGCCCACGCATTTAGAAGGATATCACGTCAAAAAGACTGGCAGGTTGGCAGATTAGGATCAAGAGCAAAGCTCTCCTGGGGACTCCACAGGTCTCTGATTAGGTGGGCAATGAAGTAACTGTGTGTGTGTGTGTGTGTGTGTGTGTGTGTGTGTGTGTGTGTGTGTATAAAAGGAAGATAAGGCATAAGGCAAATGGAGTGTTGGGAAACCAGCTGCTCCCACCACAGACCAATGAAACATAGAAGAGAGACCCAACTGCTCATTCAATCATACAGAGAACCAAGTATCCCTCAGTTTTCTCTGTTAGCAGAGAGTCATGTAAACTTGTAGGTTAAACATATGAACTTTCAGGTTTGAGTCCCCAAAACCTCATCTGCACTAGAGCTGCCCAAATTCAAAATGGGCTACCCTGGGTAGGGTATGGTGAGTCTGCTCTCTTTACAAATATTCAAGAGAAATGCCAGAGGACAATGTGGAAGAAATGCTGGGGAAGAGAGTCCCATACTACGTGGCTGTTGGGACTGGTGCTGGTATGTGCTCTTGTCTTCAATGCAAGTGTCCCTGGATGATGTTGGGTATGATCCTATGAACAAGTAATACCACATTAATCAAGTTGTCTAGAAATCCTACCATCTTTCCTCACCACAGGAAGGTGGATTTTTTTTCCCCATCCTTTCTCTATTTTTGGAAAGGAGAGTGGACACTGTTGCACAGAGAACATCAACACAGACACCCATCGGAAGGCCAAGCTCCAGACTGACAGGCATATTCAGCTGACCTCTGGCTACACGTATCAAACCTGTTTCGCACACATACATGTAAGCATATGCCACTTTGTTCTCCTTTGAAAGGAATCTCCAAAGGAAAGCCTTTCACTTCTCATTTTTTACTGTAATTACTTACGTGCCCCTTGTAAAACTCCTCCTCAAAAATATTCATGCTAACAGTGATCACACCAAACACCCTGCAAGGGATTTAAAAATTATGCCGATCATACAGAAGGAGCTCTGTGCTGGCAGAGAAGGAGGAAGATGTGCCTCTTACTGTCTCTCCATATTCACTGAAACGTATTGCTTAATAGATTTCATCTGAACAGGCCACAGCCACTGTGCTTAGGTCTGGTTTTTTCTAAACCAACTATATGAACAGCTCCCTGCCAACTATGAGCTTAAAAGAGGAAAAAGAACTTAAAAGAAGAGAACTATACCTACACCTACCTTAATCTAAAGGTATTTTAGGGACTGGAATGCAAAGTCCTGATATACATGTACAAAATCTCCATGGATGGCATGGGTTGGGCATGGTACTTACATTATTTAGGAAGCATGGAGGGGCAGGTAGGAGGAGATCTAGAGAATTCTCCTGAAAGGAAAGTGTTAGCTGGGCCATATTTTTACTGTGTCTTTGGTAGAACCACCTTGCCTATAGATAGGGTGTTCTCCTGCGGTAAGACAGGAGCTTGGCCCTGAGCCTGATGGCAGAATGTGATACTCACAAACTTGAGAAGGAACGTGTTTTCCCGTAGTGCTCCGATGCACCCTGCGAATCCCAAAATGAACATCACTCCTCCCACCACCAGGAAGAGCCAAACTGGGTCAAAGCCGCCGAGATCAGTGATGGAAGAGATGTTGGACAGAACTCCCTGGGGACAGAAAAGCACACACAACAGGACACCAGGATGTAGGGTCAGTTTTTCAACATACAAGGATCATTACAATGGTCTTTTCCCTCCATGCAAAGAAAAACTTCAGAGTAAAACTGATTGGGTGTGATTAATACTCAGGAAACACTGCAAAAAATAAAATAAAATAAAACCCCCAAACCCTTACTTTCTATCCAAGGTCTAGATGGGTTCTTATTTTTGGCAAAGGAATGACCCCAAGAAACTGTCATCAGACCCCTGGATGGAGAAGATGTGGATGTTACCTTTGTTTTCTATGTCCCAAATATAAGTGGTTATGAGTAAAAAACAGTGTGTAAGGAAAACATACTTCCTAATGCCAAGGAAGAGGGGTCATCTTTAAGTCCCCAGGGCCTGCAGATGTCAGACAAGTGCCTGTTTCAAGCCTGTAGCATTTCTTAGGAAAGAAGGGTACGGTTAGATGCTGAAGGCGAACACAGAGGCCAGTCCCAGCCACAAGCTCCTAAAAGTTTTTCAGGGAAAAACCCATGCCTCAGAATCCACCCTTGAGCTTCACAGGAGACCCTACCAGGCTCATATTCCCAAAGTCCACTTCAGTGGTTTATGCTGATGGCTGTCTTACATGGACTTCTTAAGGGTATTACATTACCACCTTTTTTTTTTTTTTTTTTTTTAAGAATTGAGATTTAAAATGATCCACAAATCCAAATCCAAATCGATTCCCTGGCTTCCCACCTTTTATTCTCCTGCCAAAGGAACCCAGAGTGCTTTCATTTCTCTATGAACACACTATTTTTTTTTTTTTTACAAAAAGGATTTCTCCTTCAACCATGATGCTATATCAAACACCATCTAGAACCTATGTTAGAAACTGTAAGATTCTTTTTCCCTCTAAACTGCAAGGTACATATTTGCTACTCAATCCGATAGAGAAAGACTACTGTTATTTTGAAACTGTGAATGTACTGGAGGAGTCTTAAGTACCCAATATCATCAACATTTTTTCTTCTCTTACTAAATTTGTTTTGAACTCCCAAAATATCCCAGAGTATCATGGTATAGCTTGCTGTGGAGTCTTAAATAATTTGTTTCAAAGCCCTCCCAGCAACCTGAAAGAACAAAAAGTATTTATCTGATTTTATACTTTAAGGAAAATGGAACTCAGAGAGCCTGGGTGGCTTGCTGAAGAGTCACACAGCTATTTACTGAGTTTTTTGAACCAAAACAGAATGTCCACTTCAGTGTTTTTTCCCTACCAAGTGGGAGCCATGTATTTGCTTCCCAGCACTTCCCAGTCACCGTGGATCAACACCTGAGTTTAGAAGTTTTAAGTTTTAATCCATTTTAAGGTTGTAGGATCATTCCAACAAAAACATCTTTTGTTTGTTGGGTTTTTGTTTCTTTGGGGGGGGCATTAACGTAAGAACAGTAATAGGATATTAATAATAGAACACGTATGAGAAATAAAGGACTCTTAAAACATACAATTTAAACCTTACAGGAAAGGCCAAAGGTTTAAATAAAGTCACAGACGAAGGGTTGAGAGATTAGGAAAGCAGTTAGGAATGTAGGGCGTAGTCACTACTTCTGAGGTGACATCACGAATGCAACCACACCCTTCATAAGACTTCTTGGACCAATGGTTTGCTCCAGTCTTGTGTTTCTTAGATTTCCAAGCTCTGAATCATGAATACTCTGGGGAGGGGATGTGCGCTTTGGGGTAGGGGGAGAACACAGAAATACTGTTACCAATTCTCCACCTACACAGATGATACTAAGAAAAAAATTGCCAGAAAAGTCACACAAAATCCAAGCAAGAGTGGTGAGGGTCCAGCGTTGGGAGGAAATCAACCTCTCCCCTGTGGAAGGCCTCAACACAGGTGTTATTACTTAAAGTCTTAATATCTTGGACTTGCTCAGCCAGGGGAAAAGATGATTTTGGACGGGTACATGATAACATTCTTAACATTTAAAAAGTTAACTATGAGAGCAGGACACTCAATTGCCTTGGCACCAAAAAGAGGCAGCAGAGGTGGAAGTGACAGGAAGAGATGCTGGTTCGGTGACAAGGAGGCTTTCTGATACCAGCAGATATCCAGCAATGGATCAGAGAAGACTTCTTTCTGCTCATGGGAAAGCCACAGCTATGAACCTCTGCCAGTTGTGTAGTAGGAGGGATTCCCAAAGTGGAGGGGACACTGGGACTTAATGACCTTTAGGCTCCTTCCAACTTTAAGACCATTCTATGATTTCACCCATTTTTAATGGGTTTTTGTGACTCACACTCAAGTCTGAGCAAAGATCAGATTGTTCCCACTCTTCCATGCTCTATGGCTATACACAAAGAGGTCATGGAGTAAAGGGACAATTATCTGGGCAACTCTGGCAAAACAAGTCAGCCAACCAACATGCACACCTGTGTCTCAAACACCGAGCTACAACACCAAAAGGCTACAAAAAAAATATGATCTTAACTGTCAGTAGATTCCTGGATCATCTGTCCTCCCTGGATTTAATTTGGAGGATGAGTACTGGCTTCTCAGACAAACTTATTTTCATACTTTTACTCTGTCCAGCCTACAGGGGCAGTTTTAAGTGAGAGGCCTCCAACTGTTTCCATGGAAACATCAATCATTTGCGGGGCCTTGCTGGCCTGCAGATTCTACTTTTAATCTTAAATTTTGGCAAAAGGCAGGGCTGGAGACAGATACTGAGTGTTTCGGGGAAATGATATTCTGCAAAGCATGAAAAAGACTAAGACGAGCTGTATTTTTAATGGATTCAGAACATACACAGTTCATTATCAGCTGAGAACTAACTCAAGTCTTAAAGCACCAAGTGTGGAAGTCAATGCCCGGTTTCATTTTCCTCGGGATTGGAATTACTCACCTACATGGAGATGAACAAAACACTGCACTCTTTCACCTCTACCAGGCTCCCCAGTAGCCACTGAAATGCAGTCTTACTGCTTCCGACTACACAGAGAGATTAGAGAGGGGCCAAACTTAATCCTGGCAGCAAAGATTCTAAGATTACAAAAATGATGGGGAGCTGACGGTTCGGCCTTCTGTTGTCTTAGAGACAGGGTCTCTCATTGGACTTCTTAATTTTGTTAAGCTCAATGTGACAAATGAGTAAGAAGTGCTAGAACATGCCTGCTGAAGAATTATCATTAAAGCTTGTAGTTGACAAGAAGCCGGAAGAAAAAAATACAAGCTCTAAGATTGCAGTTAAGTCAGCCAAGTAATTTAAAATAGATGTTCCGATTCGTGGTAAATCCTCAGGAATGCACAAGAACAACAGCAGCAGACACCTAGTCTTCTGGGAACCTGTGGGCACCACCTTCTTCTTTGGAAAATAGCACTTTCCCCTTCTTCTAAGGATTCCTTCTCCCCCAAATGCACTTCCTGTGCCCCTTTGAGTCGCCAGTTCTCACATGACCTCACTGCCCTAATGACAGTTGAGTAGTCAATGAATTGCCTTCCTGAGACTCCAGGGATTTAAAAGAGGCATCTCCCTCCTGTGGCTGAAGTTATAAAAGGCCAAAATTCAGAGCCACATGCAATAGGTTTTTTTTCCACCAAGCGGAGAAATTCAGTCTGCAGTGAGAAACAGAAAGCCAAGCTTAGGAAGAAACAAAGAATAAGGGTAGGGAGGGAAAATCCTGTCAGCATTATAATCCCTGGCCTGACAGTCAGTTCTGCGAATCACTCCAAAATCCTTGGAATACACCGCAGTTGACTGCACAAGGGGGCTCCACGGGGGTCTGCATTTGCATCTGAGTTGTCCTGCACCTGACAATAGCTTTGAATAAACTAGGAGTTTAGGGCAGTATGTGTGTATATACACACAGGCGCAGAACACACGAACACACACACACACACACACACACACACACACACACACACACGACCAAAACTGGAAGTTCACTTTCTGCTGGAAAAAAAGTTCTGGGGGTGGGATGAAGAGCAGAAAAGGGGCAGAGGTAAAATGTTGGACTTAATATGGTCCCTTTATTCAGCTGTCTGGTACTTGCAGTTAACGGAGCAGTTAAGCCAGTGTGAACAGTCTTCTTTCAAGTTGAGTTGCCATCAACTCAGCATCGTTAGTGAAATGAGTTCTGGATGGAACTTTTAGGTGGTTCATCTCTGTCACTGACAAATACTACATGATCTAAGCTCCAATTCTCCAAATTCTCTTTGGACTTAAATATCAACTTTTTCAGAACTCAAACTTACTGAAAAACATAAATACAAAATGTCATTTGGCTACTCTCTTCTGTCCCCAGAACTGCTGCTTATGTGAGAAGTACACACACACACAGCCTGCTATTTGCATCCCACAAATAAGTTCTTGTACTTGTCCTATGAGGATCCTGCAGGCAGAGCCCTGGGAGCTCAGGCTGCTAAGGGTACTGGACTTCACGCATAATGTCAGCAAATAGCATCCTACGAAGCCGAATCTAATTGTAATGAAAATAAATGGATGAGAACTAGAGCAATTAGCCACATGTATTTATTCCTTTATCCATTTGTCTGGATTGAAATGAAAATGGTATTCTGAACAGTAGCAGTGGAGAAAGAGAGAGTCAGAATAAGAAAGCCAGAGACCAGAGAGTACAGGTCACAAGAAAAATATATTCTTTATTATCAATAAGATTATACTGATAGAAACTGGTTTGTAAGAGTTCTTCACAGACATACTATATATTCCTGTATCCACAGTCCAATGCCCCTCGGCCAGCTTCCCCAGATCTACAGCTGGTGCTGCAGCAGAGGCAGAAACAAATTGTCCGTGATGCAAAGTGCTGCTCTAAAGGCAAAGTGAGTACCAGCCAACTAAAAAAGTTGAGAAAAACAAATATATTCAGCAAATTAGCTATTCCACAAATTGGCTTTTGGACAACTAGCTCTTGGCATATCAATTCAGAGCCATTAAGAGATGATCCTCCAGTGAAAATAGGAGATTTCCATGATCTACTAGGGCCCTAGATAGTATCT